TTGCATGAGACTACAGAAAACCGTCAAATCTTCTCCTCTTTTTTTGTTATCATGGTTATAGCTAAACTCATCATCAGTAAATGATTTCTACATTTGTCAATAGTTTTTTCGTGAGCCTGCAGAAAACTGTCAATTTTGCTCCTTTTTCGTTATCATTGATATAGCCAAACTGCTCAATCAGCAAACGATTTCTAGGTTTATCCAGATCTCTTTCATTAGACAATAGAAAGCCGTCAATTCTGGTTCTCTTGTTTTGTTATCATGTTTATAGTCAAACACATCAATGAGCAAATAATTTCTACGTTTATCAAGTTCTTTTTTATGAACTTGCAGAAAATCGTCAATTTTGTTCATTGTTTTCGTTATTATAGTTATAGTCAAACTCATCAATCTGCAAATGATTTCTAAGTTTATCAAATTCTCTTTCATCGGATTGCAGAAAGCCGTCAGTTTTTTCTCTCTTGTTTTGTTATCATGGTTATAGCCACACTCATCAATGAGCAAATAATTTTTACGTTTATCAAGGGCTCCTTCATTACGTTAAAGAAACCCATCAACATATTTATTTTTATCATGGTTATAACCAAACTCATCAATCAGCAAATGATATTTACGGTTATCATTGTTTATAACCAACTCATCAATCAGCAAATGATTTCTACGTTTCTCAAAACCTCTTTCATCAGGCTGTAGAAAATTGTCTATTTTGCTCTCTTTTTTTTTTTATCAATGTTTTTACCAAACTCATCAATCAGCAAATGATTTATTCGTTTATCAAGAGCTATTTTATTACACAGCATAAAACTGTCAATTTTACTCTTCTTTTTTTGTTATCATGGCTATTGCCAAACTCATCAATCATCAAATGATTTCTATATTAATAAAGAGCTCTTTCATTAGGCTACAAAAAATCTTCAATTTTGCTCTTTTTCCGTTATAAAGGTTATAACAAAAATCTTCAATCAATAAATGATTGTTACGTTTATCGAAAGCTCTTTCATCAGACTGTAAAAAACCGTCAATTTTGTTCGTTTTTTTTGTTATCATGGTATTACATCATCTGCAAAAAATTTCTACTTTTATCAGAAGATTTTTCATGAACCTCTAGAAAACTTCGGATTTTGCTCTTTTTTTTTTATCATTGTTATAGCTAAACTCATCAATCAGCAAATGATATCTACATTTATCAAGGTCTCTTTCATCGAATTACAGAAAGCCATCAATTTTGTCTCTCTTGTTGTCTTACCATGGTTATAGCCAAACTCATCAATCAGCGAATGATTTCTACATTTATCAAGAGTTTTTTTCATGAAGTTGCAGAAAACAGTCAACTTTGCTCCTCTTGTTTTTTTTTTATCATGGTTATAGCCAAACGCATAAATCAGAAAATAATTTCTACGTTTATCAATATTTCTTTCTCGAGGCTAAAAGAAACCGTCAATTTTGCTCCTTTTTTTGTAATCAAGGTTATAGCCAACTCATCAATCGGCAAATGATTTCTACAATTATCAAGAGCTCTTTCATCAGGCTGTAGAAAAGTGTCTATTTTGCTCTCTTTTATTGTTATCATTATTATAGCCAAACTCATCAATCAGCAAATGATTTATACGTTTATCAAGAGCTCTTTCATTAGACAGTAGAAAACTGTCAATTTTGCTCCTATTTTTTTGTTATCATGGCTATAACCAGACTCATCAATCAGCAAATAATTTCTAAGTTAATCAAGAGCTCTTTCATCAGGCTGCAGAAAACCTTCAATTTTGCTCATTTTCGGTTATAATGGTTATTGCAAAACTCTCCAATCAGCTAATTACTGATTTTTACGTTTATCAAGATCTCTTTCATAAGACTATAGAAAGCCGTCTATTTTGCTCCTTCTTTGTATTTATCATGGTTATAGCCATACTCAACATCAGCAAAAGATTTCTAAGTTTATCAAGAGCTTTTTCGTGAGTCTACTGAAAACCATCAATCTTGCTCATTCTTTTCGTTATCATTGTTATAGCCCAACTCATCAATCAACAAATAATTTCTATGTTAATAAAGATCTCTTTCATCGGACTACAAAAAACCGTCCATTTTGTCTATGTTGTTCAGTTTTTATTGTTATAGCCAAACTCATTAATGAGAAAACAATTTATACGTTTATCAAGAGCTCTTTCATTACACTGTAGAAAACAGTCACTTCTGCTCCTTTTGTTATGTTATCATGGTTATAGCCAAACTCATCAATCAGCAAATGATTTCTACGTTTATCAAGATCTCTTTCATCGAACTGCAGAAAACCGTCAATTTTGCCCCTTTTTTGTTATAATGGTTATAGGATAACTCTTCAATCGGCAAACGATTTATACGTTTATCAAGATCTCTTTCATAAGACTATAGAAAGCCGTCAATTTTGCTCCTTCTTTGTATTTATTATGGTTATAGCCAAACTCATCATCAGCAAAAGATTTCTAAGTTTATCAAGAGCTTTTTCGTGAGCCTACAGAAAACCATCAATCTTGCTCATTCTTTTCGTTATAATTGTTATAGCCCAACTCATCAATCAGCAAATAATTTCTATGTTAATCAAGATCTCTTTCATCGGACTACAAAAAACCCTCCATTTTGTCTATGTTGTTCAGTTATCATTGTTATAGCCAAACTCATTAATGAGCAAATAATTTATACGTTTATCAAGAGCTCTTTCATTACACTGTAGAAAACAATCATTTCTGCTCCTTTTGTTATGTTATCATGGTTATAGCCAAACTCATCAATCAGTAAATAATTTCTACGTTTATCAAGATCTCTTTCATCGAACTGCAGAAAACCGTCAATTTTGCCCCTTTTTTTGTTATAATGGTTATAGGAAAACTCTTCAATCAGCAAACGATTTATACGTTTATCAAGATCTCTTTCATAAGACTATAGAAAGCCGTCAATTATGCTCTTTCTTTGTATTTATCATGGTTATAGCCAAACTCATCATCAGCAAAATAAACACACGTTTATCTATATAGAAATCATATTCCAAAATAATTCAAAACAAAGCTAAAAAGTGATCTAATTTACATATATGCGGCATGAGCAGTGTTAATAATACGAATCAACTCTTAGTTCTGGCAACGCGATCACTAAGTTTAAGAAAATGGAAACAATTTAAATGCAAGGAGAAAGTTATATGAACCAAGAACTGGTTCTAGCAACAACCATACGAATCAACTCTTAGTTCTGGCAACTCTTAGTTTTGTTACGTACTTGTTTTCCACAATACCATGCAAAGAGTAGAACCCAGAAGAGAGATTTCAGTCACTAATGAGACGGTAACTGATGAATTAAATATTAAGTTAGCTTTACCATATATGTGATTTCCATCTGCCATTTCTTAATATGTTTTCGTTTAATCAAACTGGAAATCTTAGTTCTCTCCTTACGAACATAAAGAGACTAATGTTTTGAGCCGTGGGTACCATTTTCCTTCCACCAAACATAAGTAAATCTCATTCTCTGTCTAAAGACTAATGTTTTAAGCTGTGGGTACCATTTTCCTTCTACCAAACATAAGCCAATCTCAGTCTCTGTCTAAAGACTAATGTTCTAAGCCGTGGGTACCATTTTCCTTCTACCAAACATAAGCCAATCTCAGTCTCTGGTCTAAAGACTGATGATGTTTAAGCCATGGATACTGTCTCTTTGTCTAAAAACTGAAAGAACAAAACGAACATGATCCATGTCTAGAGATTTTCAAGCCGTGGGTACCATGAAGGATCAATGGTCGAATCAGCCTCAGTCTAAAGACTAATGTTTGAAGCCGTGGGTACCATTTTCCTTCCACCAAACATAACCCAATCCAATATTTTGTCTAAATAATTCGTTTTCCGAATCTCAGTCTCTATCTAAAGACTGATGATGTTTTAAGCCGTGGGTAACTTGATCTTTGACCAGTAAACTGAAACCAATCCCAAGTATATATGTCGAAATAATAAGCCGTGGATAAAGGATCGGTTTTCAGTCTCAGGTCAAAATTTCCCATAAGCCATGGGTCCAAACTCGACGGGACAATGTGCCAAAGAAAGATTCTAACAAAACACTAATAATTGAGTGTCTGCCTATGATCTCTCTTGGGTTCGAATGAAAAACAAAATAAGAAAGAAATCAAACAAAACAGAAAAACACAAGCAATAAACCACAACTGATCGCAACAATTTCATGCTTATCAAATTATGCAAAGCGCTACAGAAAAAAAAAAAAAACACGAACCAAAAACAAAATCAATTAAAACCAACAAAAAAGAAGAAGAAAGAACTTGTAATTCACAGAAGAAAAAAAACTTTGAAACACGAATTTTTCGGTTGTGCAAATATCAAAAGCCTCTTCAAAACGAAAAAATAAAAACCAAAAGAAAAAACGAAAACATTATAATAGTGAAATTTAGAAATCCTAGAAATCAAGAGGATTTGAAGAATTCTTACAGTAATAATCGCTACAAATCTTCCTCAATCTTGAATGATTACAATCGAGAGAAATATGCGAAACAAAGCAAAAACTTATAATAGTGAAATCTAAAAACCCTATAAATCAAGAGAATTGGAAAATTATTGCTTCAAATCATCTTCCGTCATAAAATATCGATCGAGAGAAATATGCTAATTAGAAAAAGAAGAAGCAAAACAAAATCTGAGAAAATTATGAGTCTCTCTGGTAAGCTGTGTAGATGGAAGCAAAGAAAATCAGTAAATTTATAAGGGTCTATAATGTAAGGAGCAGAAACATGAAAGTATATATGATTACATGTCTATTCATTCGTAATAAATATTACCTAGAGATTCCGAGATTGAAGATCTCCTTAGCAGTTTTCACCTTATTCTTAAACTCCCATGTGCAAAGCATAAGCTATGTAGTAGACAGCATGTGTCTTATCAATCTCATTGACCTCCAAAAACTTGTAAATCACTTTCGCATCAGCGCAATGCTCCGCCTTCAAAAACACAAAAATTATGAGTAACATTGACAAAAAAAAAATTATTTCGTTATGTAGTGCATGGTAAAAAATTATTTTACATCAGATCCGATGAGAGACAACTATCAATAATTAAACCAACACAAATTATAAAATTGTAAGTAATTTACAAAGAGACATAAGAGAAGCGCTAACTAAAATTAAAGAGGACTCACGATTGATGTAAAAAGTTTGTTAATGAATTTAATGAAGAGGCATGTCTTCATCAACTCGTTCATTCAATCTCTTGATAGAAACTCCCATGAGCGGTTACCTAAAACATAATTCACACGATACAAATCAGCAAAACAATAACAATCTTGATAATTCATAGACCAAGATAATAACAATACAAATATAACCTCAAGAAAAGGTAAAAAATAATAACGCAAAATAAATCGATCCATAAAAGAACCAAAGCAACAAAAAAAAAGCTATAATATCAAAACGATATGTTTAGGCTAACGAATCTGAGTTCTAATGGTGTGGTTGCGGCTCTATATTTATAAGTTAATATCTAGGGCACACCGTCATAATTATCTCTAAAAATTTATTTTTTAAAATTGGAAAATTTCTTGATAAAAATATTCGTAATATATTTTAGTATCTATCTTAAATTTTTATAAAAATTAAAAAACGAAATATTCTATATTTTAATATTTAAAAACGAAATATTCTATATTTTAATATTAAAAAACGAAATATTCCATATTTTAATAAAATTCACACGATTTTATTGTTTTACCCTCACCAAAAAATAGAAAACTGGATTTGATAGTGTATTCATTAAGGGTGATTAAGACTAATCATCTCAAAACACGATTAGACTTATATACCCCTAATAATTAAGAACAAAAAATTTCGTATCGAGGGTGTTTAGGACATTAGTATAGAGATCAACACACGATTAGACTTATATACCCCTAATTACGAAGAAGAAGAAATTTCGAGAAGAACAATTCATTAAGGGTGTTTAGGACAAATCATTCCAACTTTTAACCACAGGCCTCCAATGCCCTAACTTTGAATATGGTGCGTTTCTACTTCTCAATTAATTATTGTAGAGATTATTAGGTCAATTACCCAATAATCATTTGATGGGCCAAATCCAAGTTCTAGAGTTTTCTCTAGAAATATCATCATCTCACCTCCTTAAAAATTCTAGAAATTCTCTAGAACCATCTCCACCTCCTTAAACATAAAAATCGAGATAATTGTATTATTATAATCTAGATATTATGATAGAATAATCTAGATTTAGGATTAAAATATTTTAGATATTTTGGCTATAAATACCTCCTCCCTCTCTCATTTGTTGTAAGGTTATGAAGTTGTCTTCAAGTTAAAATCAAAGTAATAAAAGTTCTATTTTCTAAAACTCTCTCTCAAATACTTAAACACTTTCTCCATTACCTCTAAAAGAATTTTACTCTAACAATATGCTCGTAATCAATTGTAAAGCTTAGTGAAGCTCGTACATTACAAACTTAACCAAACTTAAATCAAAATTAAGACTGAAAGAAGCAGACTATAAACCGCATTACACTCAATACCTTAGTCACCAGCTGAATGAATCCTTAGTCTTAGCAATTTTGTTTTTGTATGAACTCTCAATTTCTTCATGTAGACTATTGCATTAACATATTATCACTCTTCCAACAACTACATCACAACCGTTTTACATAGTTTTCAATATGATCAAGCACCAATCCAAAACCGTGGGTAAAAGTAGAGCAATGAGAGATTTACCTTGCAGGATTTTAGTAACCGTTTTAGGAAAGAGGATCTGGAGAAGTTGATTGATTTCCCAAGTAAACTACTATCTGAATCTGCAGGTGTTAAATAACTGTAATGATTTATGCTAGTAAAGTCTAACCCAAAATAATTCAACACTGATAGGATTAGAGAACGTACTATCATCATCCACATCCATATTGAGGCCTGCTGAGTTGATCTCTTCTATGATCTGAAAATAGTTTGAAAATGAATTATGTAGCATAAGGAAAAATCCATACGTATCAGATTATCTATTATATTACCTGTGAAAGTGTTGGAACTTCCAATAATGGATCAAACTCATCGCAGTTATTCGGATCAATAGGAACACAGACACGACCTGAAAGCCAGAAGACCTATATTAAGAATTTGACCTCACAGACATATATCGAACTAAGTATGAACATGAGTCTAATCAACTGGTATGATATATTCAAGAAACAATGAAAGGGACCTGTGTTTGGATGGACACAGAAGGGTGCCTTAAGCAAATGGTTCATTTTTTTGGAGACCTGAAATAAAAGAAGGAACCATACAACTTAACTGTCACTAAACTTGTCAGGTCTCCATGATCTTGTATAGCCAGGAAAAATATTTACCATAATAGCACCGTGGGTTTAAGAAAAGGAATTGTAGCATAGAGTAGAACTAATCTCCAAATCAATTCGAGGATATATAAAGTTGAAGACAATTTCTTCTACGCATGTCCGCAGTGATAGAGCCTACAAAATTGGATACAGAATTGAAGATGAACAAATCTAGGATTCAAGTTCATCAAGCTAATAGCTGAGTGAAAGAAGTCTCGGCTTTTCACAACACTAACATACATGTTTTCAGTTCGTATAAAACATCACACACCTTGTTGTTCTTTGATTGAAGCGTTTTAAGCTGCTCCCACCTTAAAAGGCTGGTGGCTTCTTATGATGGAGATGATCTCGCAGAATTCTCCCACTCCCCTCTCAGCTCTGATTGAATATTTGTCATGAAGATGTAAATCATTGTAAATGACCAAACTGAGATTAGGACGTCGCTTATATACATCAACACTCTTTCATACCTTCATCTGTTATCATGCCAAGTATCTTCTCATATTTTTCTTTGCTTGAGAATATACTTTGAGTTGCATGTAACTCATCCTCAAAGAAATTCTTTAAAAAGTCCACACATGATCTCCTGAAAGCCCTGAAGAAATTAGTAGCAAAGACAGTGTTTTTGAAATCGGAAAGGCAGAGGTGATGGAGAAACCCGTACGCGAGAAACGGTTGATGAGAATGACCCATCAGATCGACATTTTTGGCACTGTTCTCATTTCCCTGTGTCACATGTTTATAATTAAACTCAAGAGAATTTCGCAATGCCAGAAACCACCAAAATACACCATAATTAGCTCTTCAGAACACTACCTTTATAAACACGGAAGTATTCAGAGACTGCTGATCTTTGTTCATCACAACCAGGATGTTTCCTATCTATAGATTTACAAACACAGACAAATATACAATCCACCAAACTTGTTATAAGCTTTCATTTGAGAAAAAGAAAAAAAACAGGAGTAAATACAAGTACCGTTCTCAACCCAATGTTGTCTTCCTTCTTTGCTATGTCATAATCACCAACCTACCAACACATGAAATTCTACTGTTATAACAACTTGTAAAACTACCAAATCAATACCAAGACGTAACAAAACTGATATTTTGGTGAGTAAAGTAAAAGACCTAATTAATATGTGGGTACTTGATGGGCAAGGACGAAACGATGGAAATAAAAGAAAATGAGTAAGTTATTTACCAGTGCAGAGAACGATGATCCAACTCCCAAAATAAAAGCAAATCATTATTGCCTTGTATGAGATCAAACTCCATAAGTTCCACGTGCATCGTAGTTGAAATTTAGATATTGCAAAGATTTATAAAAATAATATCGATTCCAAAAACAACATATTAGAATTGATTAAATAGCGTACCTTTACCATCAAATGTGAAGTCACAAACCGACACAGAGTTAGAGTCACCAGATGGATTACTAAAAGTATAAACACACCAAAACAAAAAGTTTTTGAGGAGAAATTAGTGTATCTAATTTCCTATAACCACTATTAAACTTTTTCATAGAAGTCCAACACCACTAAGCTGCCCATAAGTTCTTCAACCATACAAATAGTGGAAATAAAACATAATAAAAGTGGTGAAATTCTCTGGGGTACCTCGTCACAGATGGCAAGTCAAAGGCATGTTTCATTGTTGCTTCTGTTAATAGTCCATTACCTTCACCTGACAGCTTTACAGGTAAAAACTTCCTTAAAACAAAGCGAATTACGGTTTATTATACGTATAATTTTGGAAAATCATTTACAGCAAAAAGATCTATTGTTCTTGATGACCAACCAGGGATGCAGGATGTACCATAATGTATACATAGGAAATAGAGATTAATTCACAATAATCGATCAAACCAAAAAATAAAAATACAAACGCACTGAAATTAAAACAAACACTAATAATACCTTATCATACTTTCTTTTTTACTTCAGCAACTCGTTTGTCTAAACTCGTTTTTATCGAAGCTTCACGATCGGTATATCTAAAACAGAAATCAAAAGATACAAAATCAGTAAAAAAAATAATAATAATTCGTAGAACAACCAACAAATTCATATAACAAAAAGCATAATCGCATGATAAGAAATTCGATAAGAAATATAAAAAACCCTAATATCAAAACTATTTATTGAACATAAAAATCTGGTTCGTAACTGTGGGGCAGAAACTCTGTATTTATAGCCTCAAACTTAGGGCAAACCTCCCATATTATCTTAAGAAATTTAACTTTTTTAATTAGAAACTAAATCAGAAAACTAACAAAAACGAATATTAACTACTAAGATATAGAATTATCCAAAAAATTAACAAATAAATTTAAGCTAAGATTCCATAATTCTTAAAGTCGAGACATTATGACATTCGTATCCCCAACGATTACACTATATTAAAAAAAAAATTAAGGGTGATTAAGACTAATCATCACGAAACACGATTAGACTTATATACCCCTAACAATTAAGAACAAAAAATTTCGAAGTCGAGGGTGTTTAGGACATTATTATAGAGATCAACACACGATTAGACTTATATACCCCTAATTACGAAGAAGAAGAAATTTCGAGAAGAACAATTCATTAAGGGTGTTTAGGACAAATCATTCTAACTTTTAACCACAGGCCTCCAATGCCCTAACTTTCAATATGGTGCGTTTCTACTTCTCAAATAATTATTGTAGAGATATAGAAATATACTTATTATCTTATTTTGTATTTTGGAAAGTAGTACATTCTTTAATAAGGTTTGACCATGTTAGTAACCAAATCAGACGGTAGAGAATGAGAGGAGATCTCAATCGGACGGCGACGGGGATCAAATGTATCAAAGCCCGAACTAATTGATCCCAAAGCCCGACTATATAAACGAATGGACCATGATTTCAAAGAGATTAATGGACTCGCCCATGTTTTTTATAGAAACGTGTTGATCGGACGACCAATATTACTCGCGTCTAATAAGATGTTAATTTGACGCTCGTAAATAAAGTTGATTATTATAATAGGGAAGGCAGAGGTAAGTGTCAAAGTTAAGATCGGATGGTTGCAGTTTTTATCTGGTTGTTTTTAGCTCGATCTAACGGTCCGAAATACAAAATGGAAAATTCGTATATTAAAAACTAAATCAGAAAATTAACAAAAACGAATATTGATTAAACGATATAGAATTTATCCATAAGATTAATAAATTAAGTTTAGATTAAATTACCAAAACTCACTAAAAGCGAAATGTCTAACAATCTTTCGAAATGTTAAAACCGATGACAAATGCCGACTCTGTAATCCGTAAATTGAAAATAAACCACCCAAACGAAAAATACAGAATCATACAAAATTAGGCCAATCGAGCTTCTTTGACCCCCGTCCTCGGACTCCCGCAGTAATCAGCCCACCATTCTTTTAGTTCTACAACACCAGGCAGCGGAGCATCCACCATAATTTTAGAGCAACCAATGTTTGTGCAATGCCACATACGATTAGACGTAGCCACTATCTTGGCAAATCTGATGTTACAAATCACGACATCGTCGGTGTTAACTTTCCACTGTCTATGAAATCTAACGGCGGTTTCACCGGTCAGTCTGATACTCAAACGCGTATGCCTACAAATTTATATCACAGTTGACATTATTATGACAAATTCGTTGAGAGAAAACAAAATTATATATCTGTATAAGACTAAGAATCAATACTCTGTATCAATTAGGTCAAAATAAACCACAGAAATATCTTTCGAATAGCCCACCATCTGCACGAGTTGTATGTCATTCACATTATCAACCTTCCCGACCAAATCTAAAGAAAACAATACAACGTAATGATTAGAGTAGTTATGGGAAAAATCTAACCAGAAGAGAAACGAATATAATCTCACCTACACAGATATACGGGTTACTTATACCCGTACGAATATCACGAAATCTCGCAAAGTTAAAGTAATCATAATCACATGCGAGGTAATTAAGATATTCGACACATGTATCAGGAGAGAACTGAATCTTGAATCTATGTGGAGTAGTTCTGACTAAGTCGACATCAGGGATTAACGAAAATTTTCTTAATATCATCTAGAGACCCTCAATCAGTAATGGCGAAAACCTAGTTACCAAACTTTCGCGAATGACGGCTCGGATTTTCGTACCCTGATTTAATTACAAAACATGAAAACATCTCAATACAAAATCTTAACACAAATACTGATTACAGTTTATTTTGAAGAATTACCAACCTGATTATCCATCAAAATAAGGTTTAGTGCATTACTAACATCGTCGAGTTCGTGCCAAACATGCAAAATCTTAACACAAGTACTCCAGTCATGGATCAACGGATTCAGAGATGATATAGTGAACATATTTCTGTTATAGGTCATAACGTCAAAAGGCCACCCATGGCATCTAAACGATTCCATCGATCCTGGTGGTTATAAACACCGAAGCCAAGTATAAATCGATATATATATATATATATATATATATAGATCCGAATTTTCCAATTATTTAACATTAGATTCGGAATTATCAGAAGTATAAAAAAAGTAATAAGTCTTAAACAGAGATTCGAAAATATTTTGCAGATTTTTCAATTTTAGCTAAATCTAACATATTTACTATTTTTGGGGGGGATTTTTTGCATAAAGTATAAGAAGTGAATATTTACCAAATATATCACTGTATCGGTACATAACAAAGTGCATCTTTCATAATAAGATAGTTTCTATTAATAATAATAAAAAAATAAGTAATATGTCATAATTTAAAACCAAACGCAAGATTGCATAATCTAAGGAAACAAATAAAGCACATATTAAATATGATAAATACTAATTTATCAAGAGTGCTCGACGTTATCGGCATCGCTCTGGACCAGAATATTCGAGTAGGGGGGATGGCTGTAGATACGAACGTGCCTCCATCCATCAAGGAGTTGATAAACTTTCCACCAGCGAAGAACACACGTAACATCCGTACCAATCACATTTCTAAACCGATCATGGCACTCTATCGCCACTCCTCCATATGCACAACACTTGAGGGTCTTATTCCTATTTATTAATCAAAATAAAAATGTATGTGAATCGATAAACATATTATATCATGATTTCAATAAATATATTATATTGTAATTTCAAATAACCAACGATGAAAGAAATCGTACTCTTGATCTTCAATGGTGAATGAGTATCTGTATCCCCCTATGACAGATGGTTCATCGGTCACGTTCGTAAGATCACTCGACTCGACGACCCGCCCAATCAAAGCTACAAGCAAATATCAAGATTTCTACATAAGCAAAATAAATAACTAAAACCGCTGAACGTTCTGTAAAGCATAACAAACAAAACTTACTTATGAGATAAGAAGTATCATGATATCCATTGAAAATAGCACCAAAAGGTGTAGCGACAATATAGTCATCTTGAGAAAACGAAGACGCTTCTTTAACGATAGTACCATCATAAAACATTATCTTAAAGTCACTCCTTGTTAGTTTAGTGAATCCCGAATTCTCCACAACTCTGAAATTCATAATAGTGTAGAATTCATCTTCTTCAATAAACGTTGAATAATGAGAAGTTAACAGCGAACAAATAAGTGCTTCGATCTGATTACCCTGCATCACAAAACCAAAATCACAAAAGTCGGGAAACCGCAAACATCCATAACAACAAAGGCTAATACATATCTAAAGAAAAGCCAAATCTTATTTCGAACCAATACCTTATCATCAACCAGAAGTAACCCTAGCCCACCCTTTGATATATAGTCATCGGTGTGGAAGCGACGCAAAACCTTAACGTGAACATGCCATCCAACTATTGCAGGGTTCAACCGAGAGAAATCGTTGTAACGTTCAATAGAAGACGATGTGAACCGAGAAGACATATCTGATTCTATGCGAAAATTCGTTATGCGGAGTAAGATAATGGTCTGCCCACAAGAACGCTTAACAACTAAGTATATATAGGGAACTAACCTAGACAAGGAAACGTTGCAGCCCTTTTGTTTTTATGTTCGATTTTCCTTCCTTTGTCACGACACGTACCGTCGCAACCCTTTTTTTGTTTAATAACATTTTGCGTGACATTTTCCATTCTATTTTCTTAGCATTTTTATTTAAAGATGGCAATATCCGATGGAATTTCCTTTTATTTAAAACCCAAAATGTATTATAAAAAATATAATTAAAACAAAAAAATTGTCGTAAGCTGAAAGCCCAAAACAGGTAGTAAAAGGAGAGAAAAATCCTAGAATCAAACTAACGAATGTTCTGTAATACTTCGTGATAAACAACATTTTTAGTAGTCTTTTGAGGCTGTCCCCTATCATCGGTTATCAGTATCTTGAGGCCTCTCCTGGATGTGACTCTCGAAAGTGCAACGTACAATTGCCCGTGCGAAAAGACAGGCTTAGGTAGATACAAACCTACATTAGTCAA